TACTTTTTAATTCTATTTTGATTATTATATATTAGATTTGAAGAAATTTCAATATCTTCAATCACTAAAACTAAGAAAATATGAAAAATCAAAAATTAATTTAAAAAATAAAATCAATGAAAGTGATTCTTGTTTAGAATTTTGACATCATACATTGGTTACTAAAGTACCATGTAAAATATTACAGCTCATAAAATATAATTTAAACAAAAAGAAAGTATATGAAAATAACCTGCGAATTTTTTAGATGCAGTACAAATATCTAGTTTAAAAATGCACACGCTTTCATCTGTCCAAATTCGAACAAATGCATAAAACTTTAAAATTTAATCAAAATAATTCACAGTGATTTGATCCATTATGGATAATTATAAATATTATGCATATCAGTATACAAGTAGATACAGGAAATACGAAAGATTAATTATTTTTTGTTCTTTAATCATCATCAATATAAAAAATAGAAAGATGAGCAACCTGTCCTAGTTTGGAACAGTCTCTATGGCTTCCGATATGCAACTAGGTCGATTGGTCAAAAGGGTATCTCAGCAAGATTACCTTATATACCTCTCGCACCTAACACCGAAAAGTGAAAGGAGAATCAAACAGTACAGCGGTAGTCCAGATCCAAGGGTTGTGTTCCCCTCGTGACAAAGCCCGCAACCGGTCAGCCTTATGGCACATTTTTCCAAGCGAGCCTCCGACAAACCGCTCAGGAATAGTAGATAGCAATGCCTTTTTTTTTTATAGGGAATTACACTAATAGTCCCTATAGTTTGAAGCCCGTGTCACTTTGATGTCTGACATTTCAATTGTGACACATTTGACGATAGATTTTGAATCTTATTCTAAATAAGGACAATTGAAGATATCATTGTTCAATGTCAAGGGTAAAATTGTCAATTTGATAAGATATAAATTAATTTGACAAAAATAAATGTCAAAAAAAATATTTTTGAGTTTTTAAAAATAATTTTCACCCACCAAAGATAAAATTATGCAAAATTAATAAATCTTTTAGACATTTATTTATTTTTTTTTTTGCCAAATTAATTTTTATTATGTATTTGGATAATAATCATGTAATGAATGGTTGTTAGGTTTTTAATGTGAAATTGATATATTTAATATATGAAATGTTCTTAGTTTTGGATTTTTTAATTTAATGGATTGGTTTAATAATGATATCAAAATTGTTACCATATTTGACTTTTGAAAAAATAGAAACTAATTTAATGAAAATAAAAATAACCACCCATTATATAATCATCATCCCAAACACATAACAAAAATTAGTAAAATAAATAAATAAATATCTAAAAAAATTATCAATTTTACATAATTTTATCTTTAGTGGGTAGAAATAATTTTTAAAAATTCAAAAATATTTTTTTAACATTTATTTTTGTCAAATTAGTTTATATTTTATCAAATTAACAAATTTGCCTTTAAAATTGAGTAATGGTATCTTCAATTATCCTTATTTAGAACAAGATTCAAAATTCAAGGTCAAATGTATCACAATTGAAAAGTTAGGGACTAAAGTGACACAAAGACCAAACTATAAGGACCGTTAGTGCAATTTGTCTCCTTTTTTTTTTATAATAAGAATGGAGATGATTTGTTTATATTTATATAGGATTCTTGGAAGCAAATATATTATTTTTTAGTATTCAACTCCAAAAATAAAGAGATAATTGATTTATATAAGACTACTCATAACTTTTAGGAAATATAGTATCTTAAAAAGGTAAAATTAAATTTTAAAAAAAATAAAAAAATATAACAAACTTTTTACACTTTTATAATAATATATATATAATTGCTATTTTGCTCCCCTTAAAAAACTTTATCGGCATATTTTTTTTGCCTTGTGCTCAAAATCTAGTATAATTATATTCGTGGAGATTGGCTTCTCTCATGTCTTTAATCAAACTTGAATGGTCCAGTTAATTCATCGTAAGTTTATTAAGAATTATTTAAGTGATTCAAGCCGTTTATATTGTAAAATTTACTATACAAATCATCTATATAAAAATTAGATAACCAAATATCAATAGTGAGACAATCAAATCATTCTCAAATTTGTTTAATGCTAGGAGCATTCAATTATTGTTTGTAAGTTCAAGTTTACTTCATCAACTACGAGGATTGCTTTTTGAATGAAATTAACTGACAAAAAACATGAGTTGGGTCGTGTCTTGTTGGGAAGCATTTTTTATGGCGAGGAAAAGTGCTTGTAAGAAAATTGCAAAACACAAGTCAAAAGAAAATTATGATGACAATATGTATGAAAACAAAATGGAAAAGTTGATAAAGTTTCAAAAAGAGGATAGAGAGACATCGACATGTCTCTTTCTCAATTCAAAAAGACAGACACTACTGTCAAAAAGTTTGGCCACGAATCACATAATAGATTAATTATTTTGTTAACAACCGGAAGAGTTCAATCAACAATAATTTATGAAGCAACAATAATTTATGAAGCACGAATACATATACGAGTATTGGTATTAATATAATATAAGCATATTGATATAGTAAAATTAAAAAAAAAATTAAGATACAGAGACGTCCTGATACGTTTGTAAAAAATATTTATTTTGAATTTAAAATAATGTAAAAATTAATTGAATGGTTTAATTTGTTAAGATTCAATCTATAATTAACATTTAATGCTAAAAGTAAAAATATAAATCAAAATTAAATGTCAATATATTAAATAACTTACAAATCATAATTTAACTTTAAAAATATATGAAGTATAAAACTAAAAATAAAAAGAAAGTTTTATTTCTGTAGTAGAAGAAAATATTGTTTCAACTGAGATATGGTACGGTTTGGATATATAGTAGGTATGTCTAACTACGCCAAAAATTAAGAAAAAAAAATTGGATATGTATTTTGTATACCCAATACGTATGCAGAAATACTATACAAAGTATCATATGCCGATAAATACTCAATACGAGTATAATATATTTTTCGAAATACCCATACTTCATAAACAACAATCTTCCCACATAGGACTATTATTTTTACAGTAAATGTACTGGCATAAAATCAATCTCATAAAATTTAAATAGAATATATGCAATTACCAATCAAATAAAACATAGATTGAGCAATATGATTGAAACTGTTTACGGGTTCACCATCTGATAAATATGATCAAAATTATTTTATGCTTAATGAAAGGTAAATTATACTAATTTCTTTTAAGATCAAATAAAATAAAATAACTAAATTTTGTATCTCACAAGTTTAGCAAAATTACATTAAATTGTTTTAGTCATATAATAAAATGATATTGTTTTTTCTTCACACTGAAATATATAATTCAAAATAAATTACACTAACTTCCCATGACCTAACCTCCCTTACTGAAATAGTACTTTCCTTCCTTGTCAAACATGTTAGTTGAATGGTAACAACACTAAAAAAAATTAAAAATAAAAAAAATAAACTAAACTAAACTAAACTTAACTTTCCTCATGTTTCTTCTCAGCAGACCCATCACTCCTCCCTTGACTAAGTCTAAGTCAACCGTCTCCTCCACCTTCTCTATGCGTTGAATTGAACCCTCACAAGGCCAATGAATGTGCCCTCTTGTCTCACTCCAATTTTCACCAAATCCATGGCCCCCTCTCTCTATTCTCACTCACTCTCTGTCTCTCTCTCCAACCAACAACAAACTCCAAAGACCAGTCGCCTCCATTTCGGACGTCATTACTAGGTTTGACCGGCATTTACACACACACACACACACATATATATATATATATAGATGTGATGAAAGTGATTGATTAAAATGTCATCCGGTTAAAAGTGTAATTCCCTAGTTAAAAAAACAAGAATAATGTTAGGTATCATAAAAAAAAAATATCATGAAATGTATCACGAAGGTTTTTCATCTTTTGATTAGTATGTGGTGTTTTATTTTGTGTGTAATCTAAAGGTGTAGAATTTTTCATGATCATTTTCATGATCCCTAACATTACTCAAAAAACAATATTAGTTCTCATAAGAGTACGCAGTGGCATTCGGTGGACTGCAAAGAGGGCATTGTAGTGGTGTTCTGTGGATTAGTCACCAGAGTTGGGAGGAAGACTAGATTTGCTGAAAGGGAGTGAAGTAAGGGCAATTTTAGGATTTTACATATGAATATAGAGAGCATTAAAGTTTACACACACCAAAAAAAAAAAAAAGGATAAGATGGGAATATGAAATATCTAGTGGCATTGGCAACTTCTGTTTGTCTCACTAACAGTCCATTAACAGAAGGGGAAAACTGAAATCAACAAATGAAAGCAGAAGGAAAGTTTCTTGTCTTTACACTTTAACCACAAAAGAGATTTCTATTATTGTCAATAACCTCAAGCCAGAAAAAAAAAAACCTCAAGGGACATGGATGTAATTTGCCTGTGTTTATCCACCATCTTCTTTATTTAGAATTGTTTTAAGGGTACTTACGTGTAGGTCCTAATAAGTGAAGTTATTGTCTAATAGGTCCTATGAAAAAAATTTATCATAAAAAAATGAAACTAATTGTAAATTTTAACTAGAATTTATAAAAATCATGACAAAAAAAAAACCCACTAATTGTCAATTTTTAGCGACGTATGTAAAAAATTGTCACAAAAAAATTATTTTTAGCAACAATTTTATCAAAACTTATTTTCGATAAAACTTAATGAGAATTAAGTCTAACTATTAGGACATATCTGTAGTTTACCCCTTTTTTTTTTTTTTATAACCTTCCTAAAAGAAAATTGGTATAATTCCGTTAAACCTCTCAATTGTAGACTTAAAAAAACATAAGATCTTTAAATCTCAGCTTAAAAAATCTCAGCCTTCATCTGTGCCTAAAATATATTGAGTAAAGCTCAAAAGCCCCTGCACTCTGAGTTATCAAATTAGCACAAGCACTGATTGAACAACGGAACGCTCAACCACATCCAAAAGAAGGAGAATTATTCTCATATCCAAAATGACACAACTTCCCAAGCAAAAGGTTTCAACCCGTCCTCTAATGTATTAATTAGAGTAGCTGAGTGACTTCCAATTATGAAATTACGTGTAATCCATATTAGTAACAGTACAACCACGCATTCGCAAGACACCAAGACCATTATATGTTTTCTATGGTACATTCTAACAAGTTGGGCCATGATACCAAAACCATGAACTTGAACATGGTTACAACTTACAAGGGTCGGAAAGAAAATAGCATTCCAGCAATTCTCACCTAGCCAACATTTTAGCTGTCTGACAGGGCAGTGCACCAATTAATGTATTGCAATTTAAATTAAGAACAAACAGGTTAAAGCATACCTCTTACAATAATACAAGTATTTGCAGCAGTGATTCAATCATTGTCTATAAAGGCCAAGCAACGGCTTCTCTCTCTCCTCAACTCTCTTCCTTGCAGCCTCTCTTTTTTTAAGTGCAGCTGCTTCCTCTTCAGATAAAACCTTGGGCTTTTCATCTTGCCTCTTTCTCTTGTTAACAGTGAGAGATGAAGGAGCACCTTTAACGGGTCTCTTGGGATTCAGAGGCGCAGAAACAACTGGCCCGGGTACCACTCTATTCTGAGATTTTGCAGCGACTTTGTTTTCTGAAGCTGATCTACCCTCCAAAGCTGACAATGGCTTTTTCAAAATAGGCTTTTTTGAGGCTGAATTTGAAGAAGCTTGAGATGCAGCAAATGCCTCTTCTCGTGTCACCCACCTGCCTGTTTCATTTCAAACAAGTAAATACTATTATAAGAACACATCCCCAAGAAGTATATTTTGGGAGGGGCAATATAAAAATGACTCAAGTAAATTTATTTGTACACTCAATACCTAAAGCATCAGTGTAGTAGAAGCCAGAGTTCGGATCGTAGAAACAACCATTACTTTGATTACAGTAATAGCCTGAAGAACTGTCATACTCCCACTCTGCCATCATGCAAAGCAACATCATTTAGTGTTAAACAATACCATACTAAAACCAATAAAATTCACAATTTGCTTGTTAAACATTCAATACTTTCTTTGTTAGGATTCTGGTTAAGGACTTTCAATTAGCCCACTCAATAAACCTGATCAAGTGCAAAATCAAAGTCAAACAATTTTATACCAGCATTTGAATGGGAAAGAAAAACATTAAATTACAATCATGAATAAGATTTTACCAAACAAGCACATCTATAATCCAGCCAAATCAAGACAATACTTGCAAAACTATCTGTTTAAAATCACAATTCATTAAATCCAAATTCTAGACAGGCCACCTAACCAAGGAATGAAAAACCATTTGAAAGTGCCTTATATGGCTTTAAATAACAGATGCACGATCAGAGTTGTAAGAATCAAGCTCAGGTTGATTGCATTTGCTTAGAGCTCAAGAATACTACCCACTCAACCAGCCCCATCCAGCTTGTTTTTTAAGAAATTTAGCCACAATTGAGCCTGTTAATTAGTAGCTTCATCTGAAATCCATCTCTGCCTAAGAACCCTACAATCCTAGGCTTGATAATGCAAGTTAATGATTATAACATATTCCAAAATCCAACTCTATTCAACTTTGTTCCTTAATGTTACCTCCCCGAAGAATTCTTTAAAAGGTAATTTCTTCCGGATTGAGCCATTATAACTACATGATGCCTACCTCAACTGTCCATGAGCCTAGTCATATTAATCCCAGTATTGGTCAAGCCAGGATGAGTGATAATCTAACTCAGAAAATTAGTTGAGCTCACAAGCTCATTTGCTGGAAAAGAAGCTGTAACAAGCTTTTTGGATAGCTGATCTTGAGCTTCTCAAAGTGCAGCTCAATTAGTTTAACAAGAAAAGCACTATGCCTACCTAAAAGAGATTCATAATCATACAAGCTGCCGCAAGATAACTCCAACATCCAGATTCCAAGCTGGACCTCGTTTGGTAAAAGGCATCTTTAAAAGGAAAATTTCAAAGATAAGTACTTATAACAATACACAATACTTTGGCATGAAGTGTGGTTATGTGGTGTCTAAGGCCTCGTTTGGGAACAGGCTAATTTAGTAACTTTTTGGCTATTTGGCTAAAAAGGTAGGTAAAAAAAACTTGTATGTTTGGGACGACTTTTTGGCTAATTACGAAAAGATGTGCAAAAAGTAGAGAGAAAAGAGAATCTTTGACTTTTTGGTATGAGTTGTTGGCTTTTTGGCTAATTTAGTAACTTTTTGGCTAATTGGCTAAAAAAGTTAGTCCCCAAACGGGGCCTAAGTTGCCAAAACATGAATTAAGACCAAAACTGTGAACTTTTTACCTTCTCCAGAAATCACACTCCCCCGACCATCCTCTTGAGCAACTAATGCATTGGCATTGGAATCTCTGGCCTCTCGGAAAGCTGATATATCCTTCTGATAACTACGGTTGGCTTTCTGACAGAGACATTGGGATGATAGGAATAATTAATTTATGACGAAAAAAGAGGCATAATTAATATATGAGAGTAAAAGTTAGAATTGATGCATTAAAAAGCATGGTCAACATATGAGAACAATAAAGATAAAAATGTTACAAGTAATGCATCAGCATCTGTAGCCGATAGATCATATTTCACTCTGAACTTCATATTGGTTCATGTGTGATGACCAAGATACACCACTGTGAAGCAGTGGAGTCGGGGGAAGTGAATGTGTCGGGCATATACTTGTCAATTAATCAGTTTTCAGATGAACCAGGAATGTTGCTCCAAAGATATAATTACAACATAATAAATAAATAAATAAAAGGAGTTAATGCAAAGCATTTTCTGGCATACTAACACAATCACACCGTTGATAAAGTTAGTATTATACTTCAAGCCCTTGAAAAATTATATAATCAGAAAGGCATAACATAAGGAGCCACTCTAAACAGAGATAACATACCAATTTATTCTGCCTTACTCTCCAAACCAGGTTGCATTTCATAATTGACTTAGGTCTCAACTTTTTTTTGTGCAGAATCACTTACTAATCTTTAGATGTTTATTGAAATTTCCACGTGATTTCATGTTTTCCACATCCAATTCTTTTGTTTTGTATTCACCCCAACTCAAACGCAGTGGGTTCTCACAATGTGATATATCTTAAAATAAATATTCCATCCATCAATTTAGAAGTGGCCAACTTCTGTTGGTATAAGAACGATCTTATTTCAGACAGGTGATAGCATATGGATTGAAAAGATTAAACACTTAAAAATAAATCATAAGAATGATTTGGCGGAATTATGCATTTCCAAGGTAAACTACTTAAAGTTAGTCACATTACGTTTTATCCATATGGCAGACCTAAACTTGAATCCACTCTACTTCAATAGCTAAAGAGAAACGAAGGAAGAAAGGTGGAAGGGGGAAGGGGAAGGAGGATTAAGATTAAAAGGCATGCCAGTTGTGCCGCTTTAGGCACTTCTATAAAGGGCATCCTTTCACACCTCCAAAATGAATTCAGTGAAGTAGTGTCCTACCGTTACAAATCCCAACAATGAACTCAATCAGCTTTAAATCAACCCCAACAATAAAGACAACCAGCTTTGAATCACTACTAATTGTACTTACAACATGCCAAAAGCTTCATTTTTTGTACTTTTTCTATTTGAATGGAGAGGTTAGATTTATGGTTGCATCAATAAATGTATAATCAGACGCAAGAAAAAACCACACTGTTACTTCTAAGACAGGGGCCATGTTACATGGACTCCAGTACAAGTGTCAGTATGTATGTGTATGTCTAAGTGTCGAATTTATCTAATTATAAGTGAGAGTTTGCTCGCAGGTGATCGGATATCGACGGAGCTCGGAAGAAAGGAATACGGGCACGCCGGAATATTTGCTCCCCGTACAATAAGTAACTGGATTTTTCAATATTGAAAGGTGTGAAACGTAAACAAATATAGTGCTCAAGTAAAACAAAAGTGAACAAAGAAGAAGAAGAATTTCCAGTTTAATTTGGTTTTATAATCAAATAGGAACTTTTTATCATGTTAACTTTAAGCATCTCCAAGTTCTAAGCTTGCAGAAGACATTGTCAATAGGTCAATAATTACAATTACCATTGAATGACCAACACTGAAAGAGAAATATATTTTGGCTATTGGTAAAAACATTCTCAATTAGAACTTACTGCTTCAATTTGTTCAAGAGCACGGGTGGCTTCCTTTTGTTCCTTATCTTTGGCAGCCTTCTCTGTTCTCATAGAAGCAAGCCTCTTGGCAACACTATCCTTGTGACGTTGACCAAGTTCATGGTTTCTGATGCTAGCAGGATTGTTGGATATGTAGATTTTGCAAAAGTCGCACCATTTGTTACCCTGACTAACCCAATACTGGAAAAGGGGATAAAAGAGGGTACAAAATCAGATAAAAGTCAAATACAAACTAAAATATAATCTTAACTAGAGTTTACCTCAGCAGCAGGATATATTAGAAAATGAAAAGAAAAATTAACCAAAATGGCAAAATCACATGGACAAGAAGATTGCAATAAAAAAGCCAAGTTATCAAGCAGTTTCAAAGCTAGGAAAAAATTGAGGGTTGTAGATTTGGTCGGCAATACATATGTCTAGATACCAAAAAACACAGTAAAGTTCGAAAAAATAATAATAATAATAATATGAACTCAAAAGAATCAATCTTGTCAATTGAATAAGAAAAATTATTCATACAGTGCAATCTACTAAGAAATAGCTTCAAATAAGCAAGAAAAAAAAATCTTTAAAAAGCACTAGCAATTCACCAGAAGCTACAGATATATTGATTGTCCCCTAGTTCTTAGACATTCGTATGAATCAATTAAGCAAATTCACATATGATCCAAGCAATGCCAGTTCATTATAAAAAAAAAAAAAAAAAAAAAAAAAAAAAAAAAAAAAAAAAATTCTTTTGATAAATCAGTTAATTAATTTGGGTGCATAAGTGAATTTGTGAAGATTATATGATTAATAAAAACATTGATCATCCAGAAACAGGATTGTTGGTGAAAATTCAACCCAAAAAAAAACACATAACGGAGAAAAATAAGAATAAAAAAACCATTCGTTTCGATTTATTTTTAATCTAAAGGAATTAAACAGAGAAACGCACACAAATTAATACACAAAACGAGAGAGAGAGAAAGTGGAATGATATACCTCAGTCATAGCTGCGAATTAGATATTCTTGAACTTGTTTTGTGATGAAAAGAGAACTCTAAACCCTATTGCAAGATTGAAATTTCTTCAAGATCACAATCAGATTAGTCGTTGAGCTTCAAATCAAATCGATGGATATGATATAGAGGATATATATAAACCCTAATAATAAATCTCTCTCTCTCTCCCTCCTCTGCATTCGACACAGCCAGAGTTCTACCCTGCCATCCACTGCCAATCCGTAATATGGGCTTTGAAATGCTGGCATTGAGACTGACAAATATGGGCCTTCTTCATGAAGCCCAGTTTCAAAAAGCCCATGTAACAATTAACTCTATAAAATAAATATTGAGTCGGTTTCTCTAATTATTTTTATTTTTATTTTTTAAAAAGAGTATAAAAAAGTATTGAGTCGGATTTTTTTTTTGACTTTTCATATGACATGATGGATCAGGGTTTATCATTTTATAAATATGATAGGCCCTATATACATACATATAACATTTATAATATGTATGTATTGTATTGCATAAATTACATATGTATAAGAAATGAATAGGAAGTGAAGTAAAAAGGTGAAGTAAGCTAATTGAGATCAATAATACTACATACTGAAAGAAATTATTCGTAAGTCAATTATTATCGTGGGAGTGACACAAATTTTACTAATTTAAAACTTTTGCCATATACTTTCTTTTAGAGTAAAATTCATCATACATAGCATTTTTTAATTGAGACTGAGGCTTCGTTTGAGAATAAACTTTTTTAATAACTTTTTTAGTAACTTTTTAGCTAAAATATAATGTAAAAAAAATTAGTATGTTTGGGATGACTTTTCTGGTTTTGTACCAAAAAAAAAGTGTAAAATTAGAGAGAAAAATGAAATTTTGACTTTTTGGTATAGGTTGTTAGTTTTTTTATTTTTTGAGTATTTTTTTGACTTTTAAGCTAAAAAATGATGTCGTCAAACGAGGCCTAAAATATTGAAATTTTGTGTAGTTTAGATTGGTAGAAAGTGGAAATGCCAATCCAAGTCTTCTTTGAAAGGTTGTTTATTAATTTGGAGTTCTTGTGTTTGTTGTGATTTTGAGCTTCTTGTCTTATGTTTGAAAACAAATTAGGTTAGTAGATGTGTTTTCATCAAAAAAATACTTAAGAGTTCTAATTGAGCACCTCTAATCCAACCCTAATGATATGGAATGGATCCAACTCCTCACTCATCATCCTTCCTTTATCTCTCTCTATTCTCTGTCTCTCTCTCTCTCTTCCACCTCATTAAAGATTAAAATAGAAGTGATATATTAAAAATTATAGCACCGCTCGTTCCCATCATTGCATAATCAGATGGTTTATATACACATTGGAAGGTAGTACCTCTAGTTCCGCCCTTTCCCTTCCCAATCCTTGCAACTTTCATGCCAACAATTACAGTAGGATTTTGTCTAGCTTTGTTTGGAAACAAGCTAAATTAGACAAAAATTAAAAAATCAACACAAAAATTCAACATTTTCCCTCTCCTTTTTTGAACATTGTTTCATAAAAAGTTAAAAAACTACTTAAAAAAACCAATTCACAAACGAATAGTATGAGCACACTTTTGGTTTCACAAAATAAGATAAAACACAAGGGTATGCTATATAAGTAGCTCTGAGCTCTCACTTGCCAAAGTTGTGCAATAATGGTTACTCGAACATACTTAAGGATAGTTGTGGTTATTCACTAGAGCCAATATTTCTGCTTTGTTTCATTCTTGGATATGTTGTAGGAAAAAGAAAAACAAAAGAAATAAAAAGGAAAATGAAGGAGTGAAGCTAGAATCTCTGCTTTTGTTTGGTTGGTTTAAGAAAATGATATGCCAAAAGCAAAAAGAACTTCATTCCACGTCTTAAGAAAAATTAAGCATACAAAGTTGTATTAAATAGAGTAGAATGGATACAGAAACAGAATATATATATATATATATAAAGCAACGACGAAAGGGTTTCAGTAGAATCTTCTGCCCACACTAACCGTAACTTTACACTGACTTGCACTGCCTTTCATAGCTTTGAAATAGCACAACAACTTGACGTGAAGATTCTGGCAGATTCAAGCTTTTTTTTAAGCATTTCCATAAGAATTATGAAATGCAATTTGAACGAAATCAAATAGCAGGGGCAAACTTCCCAGAATGCCAAGCCTAGAAAAATGAATCAAAGCTCCCGAGTATCTGTAAACTACTTCTGACCCATTCATTTGGCGCTAAAGAGAATAGAAAACTCAACACTGTCAAGGTTTTGCCAGGCATGTCCAGCTTTTACTGTGCCTTTCCAAGAGTTCGGCTGGACACACCATGCAACAACTTGACAAACCCAAGGAAGCTAAGCTTTCCATCAGTATGCCTTATCCAGTCATGGAGAACGGCATGAACCGGAACTGAGGGGCTGAGGCCGAGTTCCTGAAACAAAACATCAACACCCAACGGATTAGTCTAGTTTTCAGGATATGGTAACATCAATATACCTCACTTGATCAAAAAGATGCTGAATTCAACAGGTAAATGTACGATATACAGTCTTGTGTGAGCTAGTAGAAGCCTAGGTTCTCGAGTCTCAACTAGTCAATCATTTGCTAAGGAATCACGGATTTAGATAAGGATTTGGAAAGGGAAAGGGAAAGGGAAAATATGTGAGAAAGGTGTGTGAAATATAGTTATATTTCATTCACATTTCACACACTTTTTTCCTTTCTCTTTCCAAATCTATACCCAAATCCATAATCCAAACACAGCCTAAAAGACCAAAGTAATGGAAACGTATCAAGGACTCATCAACTGTTCTGTAAGGCCTGTCCTGGTTTAACAGTTGCAAAACCCTATACCCTCATATAAATTTATAACAAAGAACATAAAATCATTCTCTTTAAAAGATATGGAGAATAGTCCATCTCCATCAACTTCCATTTTGACAGTGCCGCCAAGTAGCACAGCATCAGCTTGTCAGTTCCAGAAAATGGAAAACAGGCTGGATTCTGAAGATCATCCATTGCGCCTCAAATGGCTTGATTACATTATAGCTGAGGACATCACCCTTGATTATTTCCCAATATGTAACAGGTATACAAAAATAAGAGTGAGCACAAAGTGAACTATGGGTTTAAAAAAGGGTTGTTGACTTCTAAAACGAAATTAGAAAGAGAAAAAGAAAAAGAAAAAGGCATTTGTATTATAGTTTGAGGTGGCTTATCAAAACAAAACAATGTATCTTCAGCAGTGTGTGTTGGATGTATCAAGTAAATCATGTGTAAAAAGTAGTGGCAAGTTTATCTGTTTTCTTTATAAACATCTGTGCTCTCTTTGGGCTGTCAGATTCTGGGAACTTAATGATTGGCTAGTTGATTAAGGAACCAATACTTGGCTGTAACAAAAACACTAATTTGAGAATGCGATATGCCTATGCAGGCCAGTTGGCATGACATCCATCTTTCCCGTGGTATTTACTTGACTTCAAACAAATATAATTGATTATTGAACTACCAAACACGACATGAGCATGTAAACCATAAATGCTTTTCTCAGAAACAGGCAGAAATTCAACTTACCGATGCAAGTTCCTCAATGACAATAGCCCTGTTTCCATCCTTCTCAAAAATTTCATATGCACAACGAGCATGTTGTTCCCAGCGATCAAGTGCCTCCAGCTGATGGACACTTAATGCAGCTGCACAGAATTCTTCAAAATCCATTCTTCTGTATTGCAGTGCGTTTAACTGCCATGGAATGAAAATTAAACAGCAGCTAGTTATGAGTATATGGCTAAACAAAATCGTAGAACAGCTATACAAACAATCAACAATTATGTTACTACCGATGAAAGAAAATCAGGGATGCGAGACTCCTTCATTGCATCTGTCGCATTTTTCATCAGGGCCTGCTCAGAACAAAATGAATGAGAACTTCTGCAGAGTATTCAGTTGAGTGATGAAAAGTTAGGAAAACAGAACCAACCGTCCTAATATTGTCTAATGTTATGCTATTATTTTTGTTTGGCTCCAATAGTGCAAATTGCTCCTTTAGGAAGAACAGTTCATCCGCTGTCAATGTCTTAGACAATGCCTGCCAGGAGAGGCACATAAATTGAATGAATGGTAGAACTTTCTACAGTTAAGTAACAAAAGTAAAAATCCTCAGATAGAAGAAACATTCCAATTCAATAAATAAAGACATCATCGCTGATACTTAATTTCACATCAAGAAAAAGAAAAGAAAACTCAATATACCATCAGATACTTAAATCTCACATAATCATACTACATAGCATAATTCCACCAGCAATTAGCTGAAGTGGCATCTCCTGTGGGGAAGCAGAAGAGTTCAATGATTCAATCCTAGTTAAGACATGGGAGTGTGCCAGTTATCTACAAAAAATAAATACATAAATAAAGCAAGAAGGGTGGTGGGGAAATGAATAAGATAATTATATATATATATATATATATTTACTGCATAAAGTCAAGAATTGAGAGTGAAAATTCAAATTCGTATCTGCCTTGCAGTGCATCAACAAATTGAATTACAAGTAAGACATGGGCAAGTCCATATACATATACTATGGGCGTTCATGCCAGCATTACATATTTGACCAGCACCTTCAAATATGTTAGAATACTGGTAAACCTAAAAGACATTTTGTATATTGAAATGAGATTGTAGAAGCCATTTTCTATTATTTTTCAATTATTTTAGGTAACTTTTAAGGCATATAACAAGGGTCTTGTCTTAGCATAAAATTGATCAGACAACATTTTGAAGGTAGTTTACATATTGACATAAATAGCAAAAATGACCTGTTTCACAGGTACAAAACAAAAGTCACATGGAGTTGGTTTTATTTGTGATTTGCAAAAAAACATTGGTTGGGGGTGGGGCAGCTCCATTTTATATCTTTAGGGGTACACATGAATAGAGGAATAATATAAACCTTTGAATCACAGACATGGACATGGGACATGACAACTTTGAAAAAATTAAGATACGGACATGACGGGGATACGACAAGAAAAAATGTTTTTTTCATATTTTCATTTTCTATGTATATGAATATAAATTTTAGGCACAAAGACATAAAGAGGCATCAATGTATATTTGCGTGTATTTTTTATTTCTTTTCACTTTCCTCTCTCTTTGTTTTCATATATTTTACTTTGATCCCTAATCATGTTTCTAAAATTATGACAAAGAAACTCACAAAGATGTCCTAAGGCATCTCCAAAGAAGTGTCCCCAAATGTCTTGCAAAACAATAATAATTAAAATAAAAAATTGGTATGCCACATGGTGTGTCCTACACGTGGACACGCTTGTCCTTGGCATTACGATGTCCCATACATGAACACCCATTTTAAAGTGTCGGTGCTTCATAGGTATAAACTTTAAAGACTTTCGAAAACCTAGAGCCACCATGGCCACTGTACCAACCCCCTGCACTGCGCCTATACATAGGTCCACCCTATGTTACTTAGAACGTGGATCATTCCGGTACGTGGAACAGAAACGGGAACGTGATATGCTACATGTTCTAAAATGTGGTAGATAGGGGTTGATATTATACTTAAGAATTTAAGGTACTTCTAAAGTAATTTTTTTTTTTAACTATTAGATATCCAATAAAATGTAATATTTTCTATGAGCATTATGACCCATTTTTTGATTTTTTGTCTTGTCAAAACTTAACCCACCTTAGATTTTAGTTTATTATATTTGAATTTTTTTCCTTCTAAGGTAACATTTAAGAACATATATTGAAAAAAACTTTTGGGATCGCTTTAGAACACTAAATTTACTGTTTTAGAACGAAAGTGTACCATATTTCAAAATGTGCATATCAATACGTAATTCACTAGGGTATTAGCATTTTCTGATAACATAGGATCTGCCCAAAAAACAACCTACAGCATGCAAACAAAGTGAGAAGTATTTCATCTGGAGATATATCCTTAACCTCTGGTTATTTGAGTTTCAAAAATCCTATGAACCATGGACACTAGAACTCCAAGTCAATGAATTTTATAAATGTTAAGAGACGGACGCTATAGGGACACACAAGCAAAAAAACTACTGTAAATTATGTTTTACACAGTAACCATTGCTTTATGAATCATTATAAGTAATCATAAAATTATATGGTTGTAATGTAACAGGAAATGCTTTCACGTGTAAATTATAACTCTATTTTTCTTTTTTCTTTCAGCAAGTAATTTATGAATCATTTGTAAATCAGGGACCAAAATGGGCATAGTTTTTTAAGTAATTTATGAATCATAATCATCTAATAAATAATCACCCATGTCTTGTAAACTAACACTAAAAAAGGCACAAAATATATGTATAAATGTGTGTGGTCGTCTTTGTTTACGTGTGTAGATAAATACAAACACACATAGATATATATATATATATATATGAATATTTGTTTGCATAATTATCATGTTTATTAATTCTGCTTCTTAAAAAATAAGTCAAACTTCTCATTAAATTACTGCAATTATGCAGACCCTTAATTTGATATTTCTTTACAATCATATTATTTTCTATGCTAAGAGAAAGTCATGCTAAATACTTTCAAAAAAAAAAAAAGAATGTCAAGTCAAATGTCTAGGGGTTTCCAATCATAAGACAGTTCTCCAAGAAGTGCTAGCTAAGTGAGGCGGAACATGTGTGAACCTTGGATTTAATTTATTTAATAATGATATTTTTAATAATTATGTTTTTATTTTTATTTATATAGTTAATTAGGATGCTGGCAATATTTAGTTTCTTATAACAGGGATTAAGTTTCCAATAATAATAGAATTCAGTTTACTATTTTGATAAGGGTTGTTATAAACACTGGGGCTTGCACTGTATTATTTAGCTTTGGGGTTAATATGTAGTGTTTTAAGGTTGTGGCCATGTGTTAGAAACGTGGCTCTTTTCTTCTTCTTCCTCTTCTTCTTCTTACTGCGTCCATATCACTAAGCGCTCAGCACTCAGAAATGAGATTTCACACACATCTAAGATGTCCAAGACCATCAAACGTCCAGTATAGATACGGGTGGCATATTGAATTATATGCCTCCATATCAAGGTATCTTCTTTTTTTATGACCGGGTGTCCGGGTTACGGACACATTGACTAATCCCGGAACCCACGCAAAATGCCCCCTCCGTATGGATCAGTCATATCTCGAGGCAAATCTCGAGCAGAGCCAACGGGCATGGCCCTAAGGAGTTGATAATACCTAATGGGAGTTGAACCTGAGACCTAGAGGGAGCACACCCCCAAGTCCCAAGCTACATCCACTAGGCCAACCCCTTGGGGTTCCATATTAAAGTATCTTAGATATAATTGAGACAAACATAAACAAACCACTAAAATTGCATTTGTTGGGATGGTAACCATGCCTTTGACTTGGAAATGGAGTTGGATCGTGAATTGAATTAATGCATGGATTTCGCACCACCAAAAACATGAAGGAAAAAAAAAATGTAACTTCTGTTAATTGTACACAATTTGGAAAAGAATTTCTTCAGATTTCACTACCACTACAGCAAGGGAACAAAGACAGTATTCTCATGGATAAATACAGATGACAAAGAAACAAATGTTATAATAGGCAGAGGTAATGAATTATCTTTTTCCTTTATCAGTATAATGATATACACACCCTCAAAGCAGCCTTACGCAAAGATGAAGATCGCATGTAGGCCTTCATGAGTCTGAATATAAGAATATCAAGAGGAACTTTTATGTCATTAGAATTCCGAATCCATGGATGACCTGCAAACAAAAGATTATGGTTGATGCCAAACAAGGAGGATAGTGGAATCCTAGAATTTTGAGAGAAAGGAAACACTCACTTAAAGCCTGAGCAGCACTCATCCTCTTCCGAGGGTCTTTATTTAATAAACGCTTGACAAAATCCTTAGCCTCTAAAGATAAAGAAGGCCAAGGGGCTTCATCAAAACTCGGATCAGCCTTTAGGACTGCCCGAAAAATTCCAGACTCAGTTCGGGCCCAAAATGGACGACTGCCACATAGAAGGATATATGCTATCACTCCTATACTCCACACATCGGCCTCAGTACTGTAAGATCTGTGCAAAACTTCAGGTGCCACATAGTATGCACTTCCCACAATATCATTCAACCTTTCATCTGCAAAACAACAAGCATCAATTCTATATCCCTACTCCAAAAATGAGGAGTAAGAAATTGGTAGACCTGTGTGATCTAGCTGGTGACAACAAACCTGGTTTCACAAAATCTGATAAGCCGAAGTCTATTGCTTTCAACTGGGAGTGCTCATCATCCTTGGAGGTAAACAGAAAGTTCTGATCCAGCAAATAAATAAGCTCAGAGCAAAAAAAGATAAATCTTTCAAATACCACAAAAGATAAATCTTTAGATAATATAACTAGATATAGAAGAAGCACAGACACGAACATGTGACACGACTGACACACCAAGACAATAATTTTCAAAAAAAATGTAGGACATGACATGTGAGGACACGGGCAAAATATATAGGGTATGTTTGGTTTGGTTTTGGGAGAGTAGTTTTTAAAAATTGTTTTGGGGAGAGAGTTTAGAAATTTTTTTGATTTGTTTGGTTGTATATTTTGAAAGTAGTTTTGGAGTTTGGAAGTTTAGAATGATTTGATATTTTGTTATAATTGAATAGATGTGTATGAGAGAAAAAGTGATTGAGAATGAGAGAGGAGAGAGAAAAAGTGATTGATTGATAGGTAAGAAAGAGAGTGATTTTGAAAATTATTTTGGAAAATTTACAAACCAAACCAATTAACATACCCATAGTGTTTGACATGTTTGACCATGTGTCAGGAAGTACTCAACGAGTGTCAGTGTCCGACACAGATATGCCACCTTCTTAGAAGTGGTTGTGCTTCTTTGGATAAAATGATTCAGGTTAAAAAAATTATCTTTAGATTAGCTATGTCCAGCTGATATGTAGTAGAAAACTTCAAAGTTCTCTCTTTTTTTTCCTCTCTTATTTTTTTAGTGGATGTTGAAATTGAATAACTCTCTTGAAAACTAACCACACCAACATTTGAATAATACAGAAGAAGCCTGGTACAACCCAGTGAAGGAAGGTTTACACTTCAATCCAATCAAATAGAGATTGAAATGACAAGATCAGGAAGCTAACATTATAGCCCAACCAAAAGCACAACAGATGCTATAAAAACTAATATTAAAGAGTTCACTTTGTCATCTAAGGTTGATTCAAGATGGACTCAGCCATCCAAACTCTAAGAAATACAATAATCATTAGCTTAAAAGGCTCCACTCAGTTTATCAGGACCACACTCAAACAATCAGAGACCTAAACGGTATAACTCAGCACTTTCCCCCAATTTAAAATATATATATATATATATATTAACACTGGAATATGTTTCACCTCTGGTTTTAGATCTCGGTGCACCACACCCTGGAGATGACAAAATGCAACAACATTTAGGATTTGTAACATGACAGCCTTTGCCTCGTCCTCCGAGTATTTCCCACCCCTGCAAAAGTGAACTAAAGTATTATTACTACTCACAAAATAAAACAATGACATTTCAACATACTAATAAAGAAGCACCTCGAAAGTATTCGGTCCAAAAGCTCCCCTCCTTCACATAACCTGAAATATGCACCATAACAAATTAACCTCCATTTAGTAGGAGATCTTGTAAAGCATGCAGTTTGTAACCATCCCAGTATTTTAATACTAAATAAATATGGACTAAAACTCCAGCAGATTATATGCTTGCACTGTAAGTATTTTAACTGTCCAAGTATGAGTTCCACCTCAACTGATGCCTATTTTGAACCTATGCCATATTTTTCCATTTTTTTTAAAAAGCATAGCAGAAAACATACAATTCAGCAATTTTAAAAAGAAAAAGAAAATCTCAAAAGGCAGGTTTCTCCATGCTTACTCCATCACTACATAGACATTATTGTGGTCTTCAAATGCATCATAAAATTGCACAAGATTTTTATGTCCTGTCAATGCTCGTAGAATCTTCACCTCCCTTCTCACATCCTCAATTGCAATAGCCGTTGTCATCTGAGGATAAAAGCAGACCATCACGAGAATACAAGAAAAAAGGGCTACAACCAAGTGTGAGTGGCATTTGTGGAAAACATTGTGGTTTAATCTAAGCTAGACATCATAAAATCAAATAAAAATGATCACATTAAGACCACATAGTACAAATAACTAAGAAAAGGACTCCATGCCATATAACACCTAGTAAATATGTATCGCAGCAAACAACTAGATAATATGAAACCCTCAAATGTAACGTACAGAAGGGAAATCCTCAACGCAGCAAACTAAATAACAGGAAACCCTCAAACCCAATATCTCTTCACATCTCCTCCAGTGGGAGGAAATCAATATATAAATACAAAAGGAAAATCTTTAGAGACTGAAAAAGGTAATCATTCAGAAGGTTCTATCAGAAGTGCAAAACAAGACATAGTAACCTATATTTGGCTATGTTTATTTATCTTCTTAGGAATATGTTTTACTACATTTGACTATTTTTAAGTATCTGCTTACAGTGCATAGAATTTGCCCTTAAATGAGTTTCTACTTAGGGTCAATACTGTCAACTATCTTCACTCTTATCCTTCTATTGAGAATAGGTGATCTGTTTAATTTCAGCCACCCTCTCTTTTTCCTAGGACTGACTTGGCACTCCTTCACCTCTAGTAATCTCCAGCTAGTTAAGTTCCTACCCCTAAGAGCCTCCCTCAACAATATCACCTACCAATTCTGCACAAAAATCTTTTGCCACATAAATTGAATGGCTAAACAAATATAATAGGTTCTATACGAATAAAAATAGCTATGAGGCCTCATTAATCAAGAAGTATTTTTGGTGCAAAGGAAAGTATTCTAACAAGGTGCGTAGCCCCAATGTATTCAAAGTTCGTTTGCTTTCAATTACCTTTATTAATGTGTTTGTATGTTTTCATTGTGAAAGGTATTTCAATAATTTTATATTTTGCTACACATTTACTTATTTAAAAAATATATATAAAAAAATAAATTTAAAAAAAAAGAAAAAGAAGAAGAATAAGAAGTCTTTTTCAACATGTTACAAAGCTCCAATCTTTAGCGAGTCAGCATTACTTGACTTTAGACCATGCCAAAAGATACAGGAACAAACTATGGACAGCTAAACACGTGTTCAAATATTTTGTTGGGCGTGGACTATATACTATGAGTCCACGGGCACTATTTTGAATCAAGATGTGCTATTCAATCATGATATGTGATTTTTTTAGATCTAGAATAATATGCCCATGGTCAATTCAAAAAGTGCAAAAACTCAAAATTTTGGTATCTTACCATTAAGAGTGCACTAATTCACTAGTGGCCATGAGGTAATTCAAAACTGAAAGACTTTCCCAATAAAAAATGCCTAAAATAACTAAATAAGTTAGTTCGATTAGGTTCCGACTGAGAAAGTTGAACAATTTATATACTCACTAAAGAACACTGTTTAGCATGAAAGAATTTTCACAGGACAGTCAGCATACCACTTGTAATTTTCAAAAAAGACAAGTAAACACCAACAACATAAACAGAGTTTTTTTTTTTTTTGCCTCGTGAAAATACTAAACCTAGAAACAAATTGAATCATGGGTTTTAAATATCAGGATTAATGCTGAGGGAAATAACAATCTATGATATGAGATCAATGTAGGATTGGTTATCCAATTGGATGAATGAGATAAATAATTCCCTCTTGTACACGTTTATTTTGCAATGGATATGGAAAATTTGTTTTGCATTATCCGTTATAAAATTAAAAAATTCGCTAATTTTGTTGGATCTGAATAACAAAAATTGTAACCGAACAATCCCAATCCTATCTATATTATAATATAATCCGCCCACACAAACAAACAGGCCCTAATAGTACGAATTGGTGCTGAAGAATAGTAGTCCCCATACACAAATCCAAAATCCTCATGAACAAAATTACACAGAGATAAGATAATACATGATAGATAGAGAATGACAAACCTTGGTTTTGGGGATGACTTTGACAGCAACCCGTTGACCCTTCAAGTCACCCTTCTTAGCCACAGCAGAACAAGTATACCCAAAATGCCCTCTCCCTACCTCTTCCCCAACTTCATACCTACTCGTAAACTGCTTCGAGAATCCAAAGCTCTTATCAAGCCCCTCCACATCTCCTCCCTCTCCCTCCTCTCCCTCCGGTATCGCCGTCGCATTCTTCGGCTTCACCGCCCCGTGCCGCCGCAACAGCAACGACTTTATATGCTTCGCCGGAGACGGCGGCGGGAAGGGCCGCTTGAAGATCCTCCGCGGCGTGGAGTTGGCGCTCGCCGTCGAGGACCTCGCCGGAGACTTCTTGGAGAAGAAGTAGCGGGCGGGGCTGGGGCTGTAGAAGGGGAAGAACGGGGACTTTTTGGCGGAGGCGTCGGAATCGTCGTTGCGGCGGCGATTGGCGGCCGGGGTTTGGAAAGGTTCGGGGGCGTCGAGTTCTAGGGTTTCTCCGCCGGAGTAGGGGTTGGGTTTGGGCGGTTTGGAGGTGCACATACCCATGGTGTCCCTCCGATCAGAGACGAGTGGCTCACAATTTCGATGGCATTTGGAGTAAATTCATTGGATCTGTTGGGTGATTTGTTAGGTGTGGAAGTGGCTCATGGCCACTTTCTTTGCTGGGTTTCGAATTTGTAGAGAGAGAAAGTGAGAGAGAAAGGAAGGGGTTGAATTTGGAGTAGCTGAAACTCAACTGTATGTATGGAATGGAGTAAAAGGTTGAGTAATTCTCCTATTGGATTTACGTATAACAGGGTACAACTGTAGGAGAGAGACAGAGGGTTTTGTGGTTGTACAATCGAACTGGCCACGTGTCGTGCACATGATTAATAACTGATCATTGAATAAATGTGAGCATGGATTTGGTGTGACGAAGCTAGCGTTGGTGGACACCTGCTAAACATACATTGGCTCTTCTGCTAAAACATTAAGGCTCCGTTTGGTTTAATTTTTTTAAATGAGTTTTGAATTTTGAAATTTGAATTGTATTTTAAAAAATGAGTTGTTAAAGAGTTTTAAAAGTTAAAAATTTATTTGGTTACGAGTTTTAAAAATAATTTTTGGATGATTTATATATTTTTTTTTTTAGTTGAATAGAAGGGAATGAGAAAAAATTTGATTAATTAATGTGTAAAATGTAAAAGAATGAGAGAGGAGAAAGAAAAACTGATTGATTGATTTATAAATAATTAAAAAAAAAAAAAAGAGAGGAGAGAAAAATTGAGTAGCGTTTGGTTTACTTTCAAATCATAATTTTATTTTTGTTTTGGGAAGTTAGTTAAAAACTAATTTTTTGATTTTTTCTTTTTTACTTTTTTTTAGAAAAAAATGTGTAACCATGTTCTCAAATTGATAAAACATATTAACTAAACATATTTTTAAAATAAAACTCAAAATTACTTTCAATACTTCTCCTTTTTTTATTATTATTAATAAATCACTTTTTCTCACTTATATCTCCTCTCTACTCTCACATTTTCTCACATTTTATGCATCAATCAATTGAAAAATTACAAATCATCCCAAAACTTATTTTAAAAACCAAATAAATTTTCTTTTTTTTAAATCATAATTCAAAACTCAAAACACAACTCCGCATTCAAATCATACTTCTAAAATTAAACCAAACAGACCCGAGTTTTGAATTGTATTTTAAAAACTAGTCAACCGAAACAAACTTTTCAACTTTTTCATCTAAATCATATTTTAAAAATTAAACCAAACAATACCTCATACTTTCTAAATTTGTAAACATTAATAAAACTTAATAGTAAATGCAATAGACTCAAAAGATTTATCAAAATTTCTATTAAATAGATGTAGAACCCACTCTAGATTCATATAATGTGGATGTCACACCTATTTAGTAGAATTTTGACAATCCTTTTGGTGTCTTTAGTGTTTTTCAAATTTGTTAGATTTTTAATTTATTTTATTTTATTTTTAGATTCATCTACAAAACAGGTATAAAAAGTTTTTAAAATTTACTATATAAAAAAAAAATGCTTGTTTGGCCAATTTAATTTGTAACCTTAACCGGGGAAAAAATGTAGCTCAAAAAAAATAATTACACCAATTAATTTTTTTTAAAAAAAATTAGTTTTTTTTTTTGAAATTGAAAATTTAAAAATATTTAGTGGGGAAGGTAATCAGAGAATTAGTTGAGGAAACTTAAACACTCTTACGAGGCCAAAATTAAATATCCATGGTTAATATGCCTCTCCTAATGTTGCTGGTTACAAAAATAATAAGATTACATGATAATTTTTTTTATTTATAAATTCAATTAGGTAAGACTCAATTTTTTTTTTGTCACTATCATTGTAAATAAATTTGAATATTTAAATAATGAATTTCTAACCTTTCTGATTAATTAATTTCAATAAATATAGTTAAATAAGCTTACACCTTTAAATTTCTTTAATCTATTCTCAATTAAATGGTATGATAATGCTATTAATGACCACATTCTCAACCCAGATCACTACCACCACCCTAAGGAAACAAGAAAAATTAATATATAAAAAGATGATAAAAACAAAGAAAATATCAAATATTATTCCTTGAGAAAGTAGGAGTTATCTGATGTTTTCCCATAAAACAATTGCACATACTACATAGAATACAAGGGTAAATTATAAATACATTTTTTAATGTTTACTTAAAATATAGATTGTCTCTTGTAGTTTAAAAAATTACAAATATCCCACTTATTAGAATTTTTTATTTAACAAAATTAACTAAAAAAATAAAATTCATAATTGTTTTCTTATTCAATAATAAAATTACCTAAATTATTAATTGAAATATATTTTTAACATCATTAAAAATTGTTAATTGACTTGGTGATTTATTAATAAAATGGACTATTTGTTATGAAATTAGAAATATCAGGGGGTGGAATGTAATTTTTAAAATTGCAAGGAGTGATTCGTATTTTAATCAAATTTGAGGGATGTATTTATAATTTGCCCTAGATACAACAAGAGATAACAGTCAATTTCCGAACTGTTTAGAAGCCATATTTATGTTGTAAGATATTCACTATCTTAATAGATCAATTTAAGGTTGTTTTGAGAAGTTAGTTAAAAGTTGATTTTTTATTTTTATTTTTTTTGACTTTTTTTATAAAAAAAAATGTAAAAAAAAAATAAAATAAATAATATGACTTATAATAAATAAAAACCTCGGTGGTTCCAAACTCAACCCTTTCATGGCCTCAAAATTGTGAAGTTGAATGTGACAACTTACTGATCACTGCCATCAACAAGGGCCACACTCATACCCATTTTTTTATTTTATTTTAATGAAATACAATAAATCAATTATCCAATCTAAACAAATACAAAGGGAAATGATAAGAATTATATGCGATCAGAGTGTGGATGAGTTGGTTTAGATTGATTTTGAAATAAAACTAGCAGTCACTCCATTTTTGGTGGAGTGAGAATTCTTCAACAGGTTGGATGATTTTTTTGGGGAATCCAAACAAACAATTTGAGTAAATCGGACCGATTAGAAATACAAAATCAAAAAATATATATAATGGCCATACCTGAATTCTTTTACAATTTCAGATAAAAATTAATTATTTATTCTTAATCCTGATACAAAATTTACAACTTAATCAAATACATTACTTTATTTTAAAAAAATTATAAATTAATATACAAAATAATGAAATTTACTCCCTCTGTCTCAAAATAATGGTCCATTTTGGGGAATTTAACTTTTTTTGTACTACAATTATTGTACTTTAAAAAAGTTAATTTTCTAAAATTACCCTTTTGATAGTATATTTTTTAGGAATATCAATATCATAATTGTACTTTTTATATTGTTTTTTAATTTAAAAGAAGGGTAAAATAGAAAATTTATATTATTTTTATACTTAATTTTTGAAGAGGGATTAATATTTTAAGATAATAAAAAATAAAATAAGAAACTAATATTTTGAAATTGATGGAATAGGAAAAAAACTATATTCGATAAGATTAAAGGACGAGTGTCATTTCATTAATAATATTAGAGCTAGGAAAAGATTATATGAGGTTAGATGCAAGGTAATTTGGCTTAGGCATGTTGGGTCGGTTTATAGGCAGATTAACAAATTTTATAATGTAAGTCAACTACCTTGCCAATGTTTCACCCAAATCAGCCCAATCAGCGCCCCTTTTCAAACCACATAGGTTGGTGCGAATTGACAGGTTGACAACTTTCTTCACACCTTTATCTGTGGTAAGTAAATTTAAATTCTAACCTCGTAATATGCGAAGCCTTGATTAACAGATATTGGAGAGTAAAGTCAAGTTTGGGTACTTCTAAAAAAATTAAAAAGTTAAAAATTTATTCAAAAAGTTAAAAAGTTAATACTATTTATCAAAAGTCAACAATTACGGCTGCACAACTCCCAATTCAAATTTTTCTCTATAAATCAATTTTTACAAATTTTTATTACATATTTTTCAATAAAAAGTCAAAAAATTAACCCAAACATCCATATTTTCAACCTTAATTTTTTAGTCTAAAAAGACAAAAAGTACACTTATTTAGTCTTCCCAAACTTGGCCTAAATTGAGTACGACCTGATTCGGTTCGACCCATTTGGACTCGAGTTTAAATCGATTCATGTTGGACAAGCTGAGCTCTCACCAAATTTAGATTAAATCAGGCCGGTCGCAAGTCAAAAAATTAGGCTTAGGTTTAGGTCTAAGGAATATTCAGATCTAAGTTTGGGCTCGGGTTTGGGCCGGACCTAGGTGGGCTTGAACTCTTTTTTTTATTTTTTATTTTTTTATCAAAATTTTATTTTTTTCTACTAAAAATCACATTGGACTTTGCCCGGGACGGGCTTCGGGTCGGGTTTTAAGTGGTTCTTGAGTAGGCCATGGAGCGGACTAGGCAGTCTAGAACCACCCAGGCCGAGTTTTAAAATGATGGTTTAGGTCCAGGCCTAGGGTCCTAGGCTAGGCTCGAACCCCAGCCTAACCGGATCCACCGTGGGCAAATTTTGAGCCACCCACAAGTCACAGACCATTTTTACACCCTACACGCACTCATTAGTGACATAGGTATATTTTTAATTAAAATTCAAAAACAATTAAAAGATATTACAAAATAAAATTGGCACATAACTATTATAAATTAGTTGAATTTTGGATTTCATTAACAAAAATCTATGAACCCATCTTATCTATATTTGAACCATTGATTTTTTTTTTTTTGAATAAATTTCAAATTCATAAATCTGAATTTTTAATATTGTTGTATCATTAATATGCTACCATCTAATCACAGGCTTTATTCAAATTGTCATACTGTTTGACCAAAAACATGTTTGTGAAGTGTGCTACTCTAAACACACAAGTATATATTAAAAATATAGATTACAACAACTCAGCAAACCTAATTCTATATATAAGAGAGGGCAAAGCAAAAAATCATAAAAATATGTATGAATTAGTTATTATTATTAAATTGTAATACAATTTACGAAAGGGAAATCAAGACCAGGCCTAGGGTCCTAGGCTGGGCTCGAACCCGAGCCTAACCGGATCCACCGTGGGCAAGTTTTGAGCCACCCACAAGCCACAGACCATTTTTACACCCCTACACGCACTCATCAGTGACATAGGTATATTTTTAATTAAAATTCAAAAACAATTAAAAGATATTATAAAATAAAATTGGCACATAACAATTATAAATTAGTTGAATTTTGGATTTCATTAACAAAAATCTATGA